AAAAAACATGAATGAAAAGCAAAGAACACATTTTTCTTCTTTTAAAAATATTATTGCCAAAAAGAAGAGAGCTCAACACAAATAAAATGTCCATGATTCTAATTAGTCTTACACAATTGTCTTATTTGTTTATGGTATCTTTATTCAAGTACTTAAAAAGAATATAACATACCTTTTTTAAACTGTAAAACAAAAATTCCAATACCTTGGCCTAGCCAAATGTATTTTTTAAGAGAACAGCACAGCCCTCTTTATCTTTTCTTTCAGAAAGTTGGTATTTCTGAGTCTTTAAAAGAGAAAGAATATTGTAAAAATAAAGAGTAGCAGTTTGAGTGAATATGGGGGAAGGAGAGTTAAAATTGGTTTTAAGTGAGTTCTGTATTCTAACCCAGGCTTACCAACAGGCCATGAGATTTGGACAAGCCTTTTTACCATACTGTGTTGAAACAGTAGGTTAAGTGTTGAGCTGCTAACTGCATGGTCCAAGGTTCAAACCAAACAGCTGTTCATGGGAGAAAGATGAGGATTTCTGTTCTCATAAAGACTATAGGAAACCTTAGTAAGGACAGAGAGAAAAAAATCTATTTCCAACAGCAGAAACAGGAAAGTTGAGCATCAATTTGGAAAAGGCTAAGGAGTGCTGGTGTGACATTGTAAGATAAGCAGAGAATTGCAAGGTTGGTTTGATCCACAAGGCAAGTGGTTCAAAACCACCAGCTACTCTTTGGAAAGCCTATACAAGGTCACTAGGAGTCAGAATCGATTGATGGCACTATAACAACAACAAAGGAGAGCAGAGAAAACAAAGCAGAACAGGTGAAACGGAGTCAAGGTTCACAGAAAAAGCATGTAAAGATCCAAGCATTAAGAAAACAATCCCAACTTCTCAGGTCACAACTGTAGCTAACTTATTTACCAGGTTTTGAGAACTACCAAGCTGCTACCAAGCTAAACGTCGCGTATAAATGTAAATATTAAATTGATTAATCCTTACAAAAAAGTCAGAGGTATTTTTATTATTTCCATTTTACAAACATGAAAATTGAAGCACAGAGATGTTAGTTGACTTGCATGAGATCACACAGCTAGAAGGGGCAGAGCCATACTCTGAACTAGTATCTTATACTGATAAGCTGTGATGGACCTAAAAGATAAACAAAACAATATATGATGAAACATACGATAAGTATATAGGGCTATTTTTAAAGACTACTAAAAGGTTAAGAATAAGCATGAACTACAATAAAAATTCCAATTCAAGGATGAATGAATAAGAGCCACATGAAACATGTGAGGCATACTATATGATTAGTACAGAGGCTTACTCTGTAAATTTAGAAAAGAGCTTTAGAATCTAATGGTCTAAGAAGAGAATTCTAAATGACTTGAAAACTACCGAACACGCATTTAATTGCACATTTTATGGAACCTGAAAAAATGTAGAAATATCCACAAAGGAATAAAGAAGTATTAGCAACAGCATAAGAGGAACAACCATATGATTACATATTAATTATGTACCAGGTACTATATATGTTCTTTTACATTCTTTATATCTTTTAATCCTCATAACCCAGGAAGTATTACTATCTTCATATTAAGAAGACAAAAGTTAAGGTCTGAGAAGGTTAACAGCTTGTCTAAAGTCAAGATGGTAATTAATAAATTTCTGGTAAACACTAGAGAAATTGTGGAGCACACAAAAGTTAGCAGTTGGACATTTGTTAAATTTGGGTAAAATTTAATCCTGCAGAACTCAAGGCAAATGATTTTCCCTCAAGACCATTAAAAAAAAACCACACTGCAGTCAAGCACTGAGGATTATATATGAGGAAATAAAAATGTAGTCATTCTGAGCTTTTCTCCTGTCTTCAAGCATATTCCAAGAGAATGGAAGGACAAGAAATGTTTGGAAACGTCTGTCATTTCATAGTAAAGAGATAAAGGGGATATTTCAATTTGTTTCTAGGTTGTCCAACCAAGATCATAGAGTGAATAAAAGGAGTAATTCACAGTTATATCCAACAATAAAGATTGTGCACAGGACACATTTCTTTGTGTTACTGGAACCTGAGCACGATGGATGGAGTACACGAGAGAAAGAAACTTTAAAATTATTTGGTGCTGTGAAGAAAATATATGGCTAGGATTTATACCTTTACTAGTAATTTGATGTTGGGTAAACCAATTCACATTTTAAGTTTAGCTACTGAATCCATAAAATGGGAACTACATGCCTTCTCTATTCTAATGATTATAATGATCCTTAAATATATACAAACATTTTATGTTTGAAATATAAGGGTATGGAGCAGAAAATAATTATTATTCTTATAATTAAGTTGTTAAGTACCTTCGAGTCGGTTCCGACCCATAGCGACCCTGTACAGAGTTTCCGAGGCTGTAAATCTGTACGGGAGCAAAATGCCTCATCTTTCTCCCGCAGAATAGCTGGTAGTTTCAAACTGCTGACCTTGCGGTTCGCAGCCTGATTCACAACCACCATGCTACCAGACCTCTATATTCTTATAATAAAGGGATTAAATTTAAAATGAATATTTACAGATAAATGAGATTGACTATCGTCATGTCTGTAGCTTGTAAGAATAAAATATACCTCTTATTAAAAACTGTGATAATTAACTGAATTAAAGTTGAATAAAAATTAATTATGCTTAAGAAACAGGAAGGATCTTTAATGCTAGAAAGAAATGCATTATCGAGTCTAACGTATGAATTTAATGTTCTTTAGAAAATTCTGCTATATAAGCAGAACATAAAATAGCTGCTCTTTTTTAAATGTTGCTTGTTTTATCTCTTCTCTACAAGTTTCCAGAATTTCTACATAATTTCTTCTCTGGCAAGTTTTAAAACCACAAATGAGTGCTACTCTTTTTTTAAAATGAAAAGTATAAAGGCCAATAGGTTGAGTTGCTCAGAGGCAACCCTGAGCTAGGACTAGATCCCAATTTTCTGGAATATTCTCTTGGTCTGGCACTGTAGGATAAGCACTGAACTGCTGAACACAGAACAGCAGTTCAAACCCACCAGCCACTACTCAGAAGCCCCATACAGGGTCACCAATGAGTCTAAGTCAACTCAGCAGCACTTACTTATAGCTCATGTTGTACTGTACTGACTGCCTCTTTTAAGGAAAAAAATATGTACATAGGGCAAGAACTCTCTCATTGAATTTGTGAATAATTGCTCTTTTTTCAAATTTCCTTACAGTTCAAGAGCATCCAACTCTAATTTTTCTTGATAAAGGTAATCATAGAAGCAAGATCTGAAAGTTAAGGTTAAAAAACCAAAAAAGGCAAAAGTTAGCTATCCCAAGTTTATTCTGTTTAGGTTTAAGGTTTAACTAAAGGTGACAGAGACAGTCCTGGCTTGGCGCTGTAGTTAATGCGTTGGACATAAGAACACTTTGAACCACAAGGTCGGCGGCGCTATACAGGGTCGCTACGGGTCAGAACCGACTAGGCACCACTTAACAACAACAAAAAATGACAACAGTAGGCAAATTGTTTAGACTACAAACTGTGGTGTGGAGGCCTCAGCCTCTGTAACTATTCAGAATTGTGCAGGGACATTATTAGCAAAGCCTAACAGTACCTTTTAAATTTGCATGTTCAACAACTTGATCTCAGCCTGTAAAAATCTTTCACTAAATGTTGGGTGTTTGGGAAATACGACCTGAATAAACAATTAAGTAAACAGACGAAGACTCTTAAAGTCCCAGACGAAAAATGTCAGTGATCCCTGCAGACGCTGAACCAGAATTAGAAGATTGAGACATACAAGGAAAAATATTTCCTAAACGCCAAAAAGAAATTAAAAAAAAAAAAAGGGGGACCTGAAATGCAGTGGCAGAGGACAATCATGCCATATCCTCAATGTTTTTATTGTTTCTAGTTCAAATATTCTTTATCTTGCTTCAGTTTACTCGCTTCAGATTAATGAGAAGAAACCTGTATCCTATCAGCTTTATGCCTTTCCCACGTCTCTTCAAATTTCACACTGACAAAAATACGGATACAACAGGGGATTTTAGGAGTGGAAAGAAGTCAACTATGAACACTCTGGCTCTAGGCCACCAACTTGCCCCCAAGACTGGAATCAGTGTCCCACACAGACCCTTTGAAGAGGCCCATTCTGTATAAATTCTCCTAATTGGAACCTCAGGGTGCCACCTCGTTTGGGGAAATACCTAATGGTATGCACACAACTGATTTAAGATGCTGAACCACATTCTCGAATTTCTTATCAGAAAACAATCTTAACCCCATAGAACAAACTCAAAGCAAGCATTTTTATTAACAAGTTCTCAAAGCTTTTCTCCCATAATTGGAATGAGCTTTCAAAAAAAGTTGGAAACAAACACGCTTGATATCTGTAGCACATATAAGTACTACATATGAACCTTCAGAGAGTCAGTCACACTTGAACCCTGAGTGGTTCTTAATAAAGTCCTAGCGGTGCAGAGCTGAGACTCCGGGCTGCTAACTGAAACCCACCACCCCTGGGAGCAGATGAGGCTATCGGCTTCGGTATGATGCACAGCCGTGCAAAACCCCACAGGGCAGTTCTACTGAGTCGCTTTGAGTAGGGTTTGGTGGTTTACGATTTTTAATACAGCAGGCAAGCCATAAGAGGTAAATCTCTTCACGTATGTCAAGGGCGGTGATACGATTTTTAAAGTTGGCATTAAGACAGTCTCCTCGTGAAATACAACAGAATTCAACACTGCTTTTTTATTTTGTTTTGGTTTGTTTTCTCATGGCGCAATCCTAATTAGAGTTTTAACAATTTAACTTTGCTTCATTGCAGAGGTTGATTTGCCTCTTCCTTAAAAACAGGAAGATAATCAACCGGTAAACTCAAGCAAAGGATAACAAAGTCTAAGTCTGCGGCCCGGGGCTGGCGGTGGAAGTCCAAGACTTCCTAACTGTAAGCAAGAACTCAGGTTTGCACTCGGGCTCTCTCCGGCAGACACTGACCTTATTAAGAGTGTACCAAACGCCCACGGTCCAGGTAACTTTTTCTGAAACATTTCTCTGCAAAAGCTGGCCTTTCCTAGCAGAACCTGGGGTACCCAGGCTTCCGGAACCCACGGGCTTCCGGAACAAAGCAAGACCCGGAAGTGGCTGACAACTGGGTAAATTAAACCAATGAGAACAGAACTTTAGCGTGTTGCGGAAGGTCGGGGAGGGCTCAGTAACAGCGAATGACTGTGAAGAGAGCCGAAAAGCCGAAGAGCCGAAGAAGACACCCCGCTCACGCTGATTGGCCGGCCGGCCGCTTGGGAGGTAAACCTTATCTGATTGGCAGGAAAGTCACGAACCGGTCAGCCCCGGGTCGAGGGCCGCGCGTGTGGAGGCTTCCGTGTCAACAGGCCGCGGGGAAGCTGGGCCACAGCCAGGGCAGGGATTTCCCTGCCTTTGAACGCTACAGTGACCGCTGGATAAGCGCCGCCGAGTGGCCACGGGACACCTCCACACCCCGGGGGGCTCCTCGCTTGCCCTGGGTGGAGAGCTCTCGGCGGGAAGCCTCATAGAAAGGGAAACCTTCTCGCTGTGAACCCGCGGCGGGGCTGGGGCAGTCGTGTTGCGATTGGAGACCTCCCAGTGCACAGAGCCTGGGTGCTCAGTGGTCCTCTGCAGACCATGGAAGTTACATAACACCGTCTAGTCAGTGGTCCGCCCTGCTGCGCCAGCTGGACGCGCTCTCACTATCTGAGGATTGAGGACCAGGCATCTGGGTTCCCACCCCAAGGGTGCCTCTGGATATCCCAAGAGTTTTACAAATACGCCCGCCTCTGGGTAATTGAGTCAGAATTTCTGGAAATGGGTCTCCAGGGAAGGCATTTAAAAAAAAAAAGGAACTCACCAGGCAATTGTAATGGGCAGAATACCTTGAGATGAATCGCCCTTGCCTTCTCATTCAAAAGGGCAGTCTGGTGCATATATTGTAAAGGTTAGAATGAAGTCAGGCATATAAAGCTTCCAGCACACAGTAGGTTTTAAGAACAAAAACCCTCTTCAATCCCCTCTCCCCATAGAGGAGCATTCAACTAGGCAACAGCTCTCTCATCCTTAGAAGCAACATTGTTATTGTTAGGTGTCCTAGCCGCACTGAGTTTTCTAGGCTAAAAAGGCGTTTTTGGTTGGTTATGTTTGTTGTTGTTGTTTTTGCTTGTATATTTCACAAATTCTGTGGAACAGAGTTGTAACTCAAAAATACGAAATATGGAAAAGGTTAATTGCTATTGAGTGCGGTCCAGTAGGTTCCAACTCATAGTGACCCTTATAGGGTTTCAGAGGAGCAGCTGGTGTGCTCGAACTTCTAACCTTGTGTTTGCAGTTGAACAGAAGGAGTCCTGATGGTACAGTGAATGAAGTATTGGACAACTAACCGTAAGACTGAGTCAAACTCACCTGCTACTGCGTGGGGGAAAGGTGAGGCTGTATGCTTCTGTAAAGATTTACAGCCTCAGAAACCCTAAGGAACAATTCTACTTTGTCCTGAAGGGTCACTATGACTGGGAATTGACTTGAAGGCATTGGGTTTTAATATCCTCATATGTGTTTTTACATTAAAGAGGTACAATTTAATGAAACTTACATCTGAATTTTGCTTGGCTCTATAGTCAACATCGAAGCAGCAGTCAAATCAAAAGACATACTTCATTAGGCAAAGCACCTGTATTTTGCTGCTGTTGTTGTTAAGTGTCATCGAGTCCAATCCGACAACTCGTCATGATCCTGTATAGGGTTTCTGAGGAGTGACTGGTGAGTTTAAACCACTAACCTTGCTGTTCAAACAGACCTTGCGGTCTAGTGCTTATCTTTTGGTGCCACACCAGGACTCCAAAGACCTCTTTAAAGTGTTACAAAACCAAAATACCAGATTTTGAAGACTGAGGTATGTCTTTCCCAAGTCAGGGTATTTTCAATAGCTTCATGTTGTTGTTGTTGTTGTTAGGTGCCATTGAGCCAGCACCAACTCATAGTGACCCTATGCACAACAGAACCTAACACTGCCTGATCCTGGGCCAACCTCACTATTGTTGCCACGCTTGAGCCCATTGATACTGCCACTTTGCCAGTCCATCTGGCTGGGGGTCTTCCTCTTTTTTTCTGACCCTCCACCCTACCAAACATGATATCATTCTCCAGCAACTGGTCCATCTTGACAATATGTCCAAAATATGAGAGACAAAGTTTGGCCATCCTGGCGGGCCTTCAAGGAGCACTCTGGCTGCACTTCTTCCAACACAGATCTGTTGATTAGTGTGGCAGTCTATGGTACGTTCAATATTATCCTCCAACACCATAACTCAAAAGCATCAATAGCTTCATAGGCACGTAAAAGTTGGACACCGATTAAGGAAGACTGTAAAAGAATTCCTGCATTTGAGTATGGTGTTAGAGAATATTAAAATACCATGGACTGCCAGAACAAACAAATATATGTTGGAAAAAGTATAGCAGAATGTTCCTCACAAGACAGATATAAAAACTTCATGCGTCATACTTCGGATACCTATCAGGAGGGATCAGTCCCTGAAGAAGGACATCATGCTTGGTAAAGCGAAGGGTCATAGAAAAAAAGGAAGACCCCCAACGAGACGAATTGCACGTTGTTTTTTAAGAATGAGCGTGCAAAATAACAATGAGATATCATCTCACAGCAGCAATAACAGCAAAGATAAAAAAAAAAAACAGAGAACAATAAATGCTGGCAGGGATGTGGAGAGACTGGGATACTCTTGCATTGCTGGTGGGACTGCAAAATGATCCAACCTCTCTGGAAAGCAATATGGCGCTTCCTCAGAAGGTTGTCAGGTGCCATCCTTGTCAGGTGCCATCGAGTCGAAACTGACTCATAGCGACCCCATACACAGCAGAACGAAACAATGTCCGATCCTGGGCCAACCTCACTACCGCTGCCACATTTGACGCCATCAATGATGCCACCTGGCTGATCCATCTCATTGGGGGTCTTCCTCTCTTTCTCTGACCCTCCATCTTACCCAGCATGACATCCTTCTCCAGAAACTGTTCCTTCTTGACAATATGCCCAAAGTATGAGAGATGAAGCTTAGCTA